AATTAAGAAAACAACAACAAAGAAACAGACAGACAAACAAACCTAACAACTGCCATACATTTATGATATTAAAACTGTCAATAGACATGTATTACAGTATCAAGATAACCATTCTAAAAGTGACTGTAAACCATGGAGTGGAGTTATTGATCTGGCTGAGGAATTTCCTTAATGTAAAACAGCAGATCTTTAAATATGCACACATTATATAGATTTTCTCATTTGCAAACAGTAATAGTCTGAATGCTTAACATTTGTTTGCCAAGCAAATGCTCAACAGCTAAGAATCTTGTGCTTGTGATTTTCAACATGACTCAATTAAAACTCTGAATGTAACAAAGTTTTGTATTGAGATTAAAACATTGTAAAACCGTACAAACGATAGTACGTTTACACGACTATGACAATGACTGTACTAAATACGTAAAAGTTCTTCCTAAGCACTAGGGTTGGGTATCGTTTCAATTTTATCAATTCCGATTCCGATTCTTTTCGATTCCCAGTTTCAATTCCAATGGGATTAAAAAATGATATGAAACATTCATCCTGTGTCTCTTCTTGCAAACCCTTTAGTTGCAGCTGAATACCATGAACAAAAATTCAAAATTTTTGTTGAAAGACTGTTAAGACGAAATTTACACCCGTGTGTGGCTGAAAAGACTGTGAAGCTGTTTCATTCATGACAAATGACAGGTTTTCTCTTTAGGTCAGTGGCTAAAATGCTGTATTACTCATGTCAGGCCAGTAGTTGGCGATGTCACTTTGTAAAGACATACTACAGTACACGCCTGTGCGCATATATTGATATAGACTTAATACATAATATGCATGCTCATGACGTCATTTTCACAAATTCAAATTTTTGTACATTAAGACAATAATGGCATTGTTTTTAAAGTCATGCACTTTGAAACCCATTTTCAAATGTTCATGTTTTCAGTTCCCTAAACTGAAACCCATTGTTGTGTAAATGAATGGCCAAAATGCATAAAACGTTTTCTGTTTTTAGTAGTTACTTCATCTCATAAAAGAGAGTTTGAGTAAATGATCATTGTAGGGTACAAGATAGTAATAGTAGTAGCAGTAGTAAGCCTAATTCATAGTAATAATACACGGCTCAAAACTTAAGCACCTTCTCAAAACAGCTCTGAAGCATGCTTTTTGTTTATGTTTGTTGACAGACACCAGTGTTTTCCACAGACTTGCAAATGCAAATTCATTATCTGCCAGCAGGAGGCGCTTTTGGAGTGGGAGATATAGCGGTGTCCCCGGTAACGGCTGTAATCAAATAAGCGCTGCACTCACGCACGCTACTTTATCAGGCATATTACAGAAAAGACGAAATGAAAATGACATCGAAGCTGGCTGTGCAATTAATCGCATGCGATTGTCATGCGCATCTCGTCAGTAAAGCCGGTCCCGTTATTAGTAGTAAATCACCATCACCAGCTTTCAGAGGGAGCGGCATTCACTACACAGAGCCGTAGTTCACTGACAAGCTAGGCGATCTCACGTTCGCAATCGAATGCGATTCATCTGCGATTATGAACGCGATATTGCCTAATTGAAATAAATAAAATTATATCGGTTTTATATCGGCCACCCTGCTTTCCAAGATATCGGCATCGGCATAGGCTTTCAAAAAACACATATCAGTCGACCACTAATAACTGGTGGCTGTTGCGTTCCCAAATGTGTGTTAAACTCACAGCATGTGCAATAAATGAGTTTACTGTATTCATTCACTGTGAACGGAGCCGTTCTGAAGCTGCGGAAAACACCAGATCACGAGCTGATCGCCTGAACGAAATGTGCGCTTTGCTTTGAAACGCGCAGTGAAAACAGACTTGATGAAGGGATTTAAGCCATTTTGTGCTTTCGGTTTTATTTCATTTGACACTGTGCCAAAGCATTATGGCCCAAAACACAACTTTAAACACTTTTTATGTCAGAATAAGAAGTTTAAATATATTTGAAAACTACACTTTTTGCCCGGAAGACCTATCGTTTCATATCACCATGTGACCACAATAATATGAAGACAGTTTTGCTATCGTGATATCACGATATTGACAGTATTGTTACATCCCTAGTTTTTAGTTGAAAACAAGTGTCATGCAAACTCCTCCTTAAATTTGCGTTTTATCCAGTCTGCTATTGGTCAGTCAAAAGGATAGCCCCGCCCCCTCAACCCTCTACATTGTGAGTAAATCACTCGCATATGCGACTAAATCTTACTCTGGGCGACTAAATAACGTCTGACATTAGCCATTGGCTAATAAATTCTTAGATTTTACATGCCAGTATGTGTGTGAGAGGCGTTCAACACAGATTTTCACTCGATAAACACGCTCACTGAGCGCTTGAGAGTTTCGATCTCCGTCAAGCGATCTGTACTATTTGGATGCGCTCAATGGATCATGTCATGTACTCAGTGGATGCGCAGTATGTAGCACGCAGTGCACCTGTATTTGACGTAAGTTACCGTAAACTAGTGTGAAGGCGCACGACTCGCCGTCGCTTTACTGATAGCGCTGTGTTTCTCACACATGCAATGAGAGAGAGCGAGAGTCTTGCATACCACGCTGAATCGACGCGCTACATGTAAACCATATTCTTTGTTGTATTTTCCTGTCAAAATAACAGAGTTCATTTAGAATTATTCAGCTTTTAAGAACAAGCAGAAGCTATGCCGGTTTCTCGGCAGTGGGCGGAGCTAATGCGCGAACAGTTCTCGTTGGCTGGCACTCATCTATTACCGTCCCTGTTTTGATTTCGAACGCTGACAACGTGATTAATATTCATGAACCCAGCAGATAATAGTAGTAGTAGTAGTAGTAGTATCTTTTAATAATAATTACTATTACCTATTACTATTACCTTACCTATTACCTGTGGATGTCCTCATTTGTATAACTGTTATACAAATAAACAACGTTTTTTTTTACTTTTGAAATTGTAAAAATGCAGAAAATTTTCTGTGAAGGGTAGGGTTAGGGGAGGGTTTAGGTTAAAAAGTGTATAACTATCTGTATATAAAAACAATCGAAGTCTATATAATGTCCCCATTTAGATAGCTAAGTAAACATGTGTGTGTGTGCGTGTAAAATAGTATATCAGTCTGGCGAGTAAACAAACAGATTTACTAGCCAATGGCTATTAAATTGCCAAGGTGTGCGTAGAGGGTTGCCCCTACACAACATCATTGGTTAAGTCACTATTACACTTCTTGGAGAAAATCTAGAAAATAAGAGATTCAATTTGGATTTTTAACAAAGACTTTTAGCAACTTTAACAAAATGTTCTAATCATGAAAAATAACAATTACCACAACAGCCAACACTAAAAATATTGACACGATAGTGTAGCAAACTGAAAAAATTTAATTACAAATTCACAACAATAATACACACACACAGAAAGTAGGATTTACTTGAAAAAAGCTAAGAAACCATTTTCACTCAGAAATTGCTAATTGTAAATTTCCCAAACAATTACAATGAAACACTGAATTAATGGCATTCTTAAGTAGAATGACTGAAACAGTATTCTCTTGTAAAACGTACTCCAATAATCCATTTCATTTACTTTGAAAAAATCTTTTCTTACCGTGCATAAGTGGTTATCATACTGCCACCACTCGGATAACAAAGCATACATAAAAAATGTCCACTTTTATGCATACACTTCATGATGAATTGGCAACAGATGGGACAACGTTACACCTGCATGCATGTATGTATTAGACTAGAGCAACTGTACGCAGCAGAAAGTTGCGATGATCAACAGATGCGCCATTGTATCCGCTGCAATCGCAACGACATTCGAATGTTCGAATTTAGGCTGAAATGCGCGCGCGCGAATACAGTGAACGGATTGTTAATAATGCAGTCGAAAACCTTACCACGAGCGCTCGTGTTCACAAACCCACGGGATGCATGTGCCTTGAGCTTCATCTTGGAGGAACTCGCTCTGAAAGAGCCTGAAGATGTCTCGAAGAGTCTGTAAGGCAGCTCACCACGCGTGTGCTGAGAGTTGCATAGGAATCAGCGGATGAAGTTGATGGATTATTGGTAACAGAAGCACGTAGTGTTCACCAAAATGAGGTTTCTGGGGTTTGTGATCAGTGACCACCCTGAAGGCGGGGCGAAACCTCACGTTTTGGGTGGGTGGGTGGGTGTGCGGGGGGGCAAAAAGGATGAGAATGGGAAAATCGAAGTCGTGCCATATCCTTTCACAGTTAATGAGCTGTTGCCTGCAGTTGAAAGCCGTTATTGATTGTTTTGTTGATTGCTGAGAATGCTGACTGCTATAGGCCGTACCTTATTGCATTATTCTTAATGCATATACATAATATCCTATGAAACATATTATAATAAAATAAATACATGCAGCATGCATATGCAACACGCGTATTAACGTGTTATTAGTGCTGAGTATTTTCCGCATTTAAAACACCTAATATACTTACTTCCATGAGATACGTTATTAGGCTAAATGTCATTTGTAGTCAAAATTGTAAGTGGCTCCTCACGGAATACTAGAAAAAAAAGGACAACAAATGTGTCTACACTGTGCATACAAGTTTCTTGACATCTGTCAAATTAAGTGTAAGATGATAATTATTAGAAGGCTGTGCATACTGATCAGAGGGGGATTAATTAAGGGGCCATATACCCCTGGAATTGATTTTAGGGACGATTTCTGAGGGGGGAAACATTGTCCTGTCAAGTAATTAATTATACATTTAAATTAACATCACAAGGAATGTACTGAAGTATGGTAGCTTTATGGTAACAAGTCTAACGTTGATAAATCATTACGTTACATGCATGTATGTACTCGCATACTCGTATTTAGACAAATAAAAAACACATATAAACAAAATTCACAACACTAATACACACTGAAAACAAATACTGAAGTAGGATTTCCACTCAGTAATTAGTAAATTCCACAAATAATGACAAAAGGAACAGCAAGTAATGTTACGTTTTGAGACTTTTATTTTGAAAACAGCGGCCATGTTTTCACTCTCGGTTGAGTTTACTGTAGCATATACTGATCACTTGTACTTTACACTTGTTGGAAGCATAGACTGTGTTTGGAACATGGCTTTCCAGTGTCAGAGGGACTGTTATATGCAGGAGGTATGTGACTTATTTCTAATGTTATGATATTTCACTGTATGTGTATCGCCAGACTGAATGAGTGAACATCTCTGCAGTTTACAATGACAGCACATGTCCAGCAGCAGTAATTACACTTCTCTCTACATATAATTCATGTAAAATAATGACATGATCAATCCTGATAGTAACATTAACAAGGTATTTTTGAAATCAGTTTGCCACTGCATGAGTTTAAGACAAATACATATAAATTAAGATGAAGAAAAAAAAAGTCCATGCCCATGTTGTTTGTCCACTTTTCTTTTTACAGTTCGACACGTGTGTCGTGTCTTGTGTGCCTGGAGAATCAACCCTCGAGAATAATGGAAAGAAAGACAAGCTGAAGGGCTTTAATCTGAAACTGAAAGACACGATTCTGTTTCCAGAGGGCGGAGGACAGGTGAGTTTCCCCTCTAATGTCATTCCATGCAGGTAACTAGATTCAAGCCCTGAATATATTGTTCATTGCATGAGCATGATTTGAGATTGATGTCTTTCCATTTCATTTCCAGCCTGATGATCACGGGACGGTTGGAGGTGTCCCTGTCCTGCGGGTGTTGAGACAGGGTCCCGAGGCGGTGCATTTCATCAGCTCTGCTCTGGAGGAGGGTCAGGAGGTGCACATCAAGCTGGACTGGGAGCGACGCTTTGACCACATGCAGCAGCATTCGGGTGAGGAAGGAATGAGGGTTTAGGTGAACTATTACTTTAACCCTGGGAAGGCAAACATAGGAAATAATAGTCAGGAGAAATCAAATTAGACAAAAGTTTGCACATTTTTGATACATACATCAGGGTTTTATGACACATAGAGTATGATATAAGTGAGAATATGGACCTTTAGTGACACTCTAGGAGGAAAACAACACCTCAGTTTTATTGAAACCGAGCCAAAATATGCAATTTGGTGCAGTTACTGATATTTATATGGCCGAAGTTCTAATAGCTTGTTATGTGAATCACTGAGATCTTTCTAACAGTACAGCAGACTGCTTACATCAAATGCATACAAATATTATGCTATAGCATATGTCTTTGTAAGATGATATTTAATGCTTAGTTTTATGATCAAAGCTTTGTATTTTTTATTTTGGGGTCAAAACATAAAATGCTAAAATGCTTTTTTATTTTTTTGCTAACAAAGTGTGTCATTCAGGTGACGGAAGGCATGAAGTAGATGGTTTACAACAGGTTTATCTCAAGCTTGTGATCACATTAATAATTTAGAGTAGTGCTGTCAAACGATTAATCGTTATTAATCACATCCAAAATAAAAGTTTTTGTGTACATAATATGTGTGTACTGTGCATATTTTTAATTTGTATATATAAATACGCACGCATGCATATATTTTAAAAATATTTACATGTGTGTGTGTGTGTATATATATATATATATATATATATATATATATATATATTATATAAACAACATATTTTTCTGTAATATACGCATGCATGCATGTGTGTGTGTGTGTATATATATATATAATATATATACACACACACATAATAAATATATACACAGTACACACAAATATTTTATTTAAACAAAAACTTAACGCAATTAATCATTTGACAGCACTAATTTAGAGTCCGAAATTTGCATGTGAAATATAATACAGCAGGCTTTATAGGGTTAATGTTTTATAGTGAAGCTCAAACTAATTTCATCACATGCTTATTGTATATATATATATATATATATTTTATATAAACAACATATTTTTCTGTAATATACGCATGCATGCATGTGTGTGTGTGTGTATATATATATATAATATATATACACACACACATAATAAATATATACACAGTACACACAAATATTTTATTTAAACAAAAACTTAACGCAATTAATCATTTGACAGCACTAATTTAGAGTCCGAAATTTGCATGTGAAATATAATACAGCAGGCTTTATAGGGTTAATGTTTTATAGTGAAGCTCAAACTAATTTCATCACATGCTTATTGTCATTTTTAAAGGTCAACACTTGATCACAGCTTTGGCTGATGCAATGTTTGGATACAATCAGGAGAAATCAAATTAGACAAAAGTTCGCACATTTTTGATACATACATCAGGGTTTTATGACACATAGAGTATGATATAAGTGAGAATATGGACCTTTAGTGACACTCTAGGAGGAAAACAACACCTCAGTTTTATTGAAACCAAGCCAAAATATGCAATTTGGTGCAGTTAATGATATTTATATGGCCGAAGTTCTAATAGCTTGTTATGTGAATCACTGAGATCTTTCTAACAGTACAGCAGACTGCTTACATCAAATGCATACAAATATTATGCTATAGCATATGTCTTTGTAAGATGATATTTAATGCTTAGTTTTATGATCAAAGCTTTGTATTTTTTATTTTGGGGTCAAAACATAAAATGCTAAAAATGCTTTTTTATTTTTTTGCTAAAAAAGTGTGTCATTCAGGTGACGGAAGGCATGAAGTAGATGGTTTACAACAGGTTTATCTCAAGCTTGTGATCACATTAATAATTTAGAGTAGTGCTGTCAAACGATTAATCGTTATTAATCACATCCAAAATAAAAGTTTTTGTGTACATAATATGTGTGTACTGTGCATATTTTTAATTTGTATATATAAATACGCACGCATGCATATATTTTAAAAATATTTACGTGTGTGTATATATATATATATATATATTTTATATAAACAACATATTTTTCTGTAATATACGCATGCATGCATGTGTGTGTGTGTGTATATATATATATAATATATATACACACACACATAATAAATATATACACAGTACACACAAATATTTTATTTAAACAAAAACTTAACGCAATTAATCATTTGACAGCACTAATTTAGAGTCCGAAATTTGCATGTGAAATATAATACAGCAGGCTTTATAGGGTTAATGTTTTATAGTGAAGCTCAAACTAATTTCATCACATGCTTATTGTCATTTTTAAAGGTCAACACTTGATCACAGCTTTGGCTGATGCAATGTTTGGATACAAAACTACCTCTTGGTAAGAGCTTTGGCAGAATCTATTAAATGACTCAGAAATAAATTAGATTTCTAAATGTTAAACCATCTGGCTGGTTATGAAATGATCCAGGGATTTGGGACGTCAGCGTAGCAGCATAGAGCTGGACACAGCCGCGGTGAAGCCTGGAGAGATGGAGGCTTTGGAGGCGGCTGTGAATGAGAAGATTCGTGCACACATTCCAGTCACTGTCAATCTCCTGTCCATTGATGATCCTGCTGTGGAGAAGGCATGTGTGCACCTTCAGAAATCTACTATCAGTCTTTCTAGGAATCAAATTTTCACAACATTTACTCACTTTAAGTTTTATTACCCAAACTACAGAACAAATGAGTTCTCATTAATCAGTAATTCAGTGTGCGCAATAATAATGAGAAGATTAGCGACACAACATAAATTAGGTGAAAAATTAATCAAAGGAAAAAACAACAATAAATAAATAATATTCAAAGCGAAAAACTATAATATGCAACGTTAAGATTTTTAAAAAATGTTTTTAAAAGAAAGTCTCTTATGTTCACCAAGGGTGCATTTATTTGATAAAAAAATATAGTGAACACAGTACTATTGTAAATATTATTACAGTTTAAAATAATTATTTTCTGTTTAAATATATTTTAAAATGTGATTTATTCCTGTGATGTAAAGCTGAATGTTGAGCTTCAGTGTCACACGATCCTTCAGAAATCATTCTAATATGCTGATTTGCTGCTCCAGAAACATTTATCATTATTATTAATGTTGAAAATGGTTGTCCTGGCTGCTTAACATGTTTTGTGGAAACTGTGATTTTTGTTTCAGGATTCTTTGATGTATAGAAAGAACATTTATTTTAAAATAGACATTGTAAATGGCTTTACAGTCTGCAACCTTGTTGCTAAAATATAATAAATGTATAAAAAAATCAATAGAAATGTGTCCACAAAATAAAACTGAATGAAGCTAACTACAACAAAACTGAAATTAAAAGCAAAATCCAAAAGTACTATAATCTTATATTGAGATAAGAAAGTAAAACATCTTTTTTTTTTTTTTTTTTTTTTTTTAAGTTTGGCAGCAAATCTTTCCCCCTTTATCCTCAACAAAATCTCATCAATTTTTGGTTACTTTTTTCCTAAGTTTATAGAATTTAATAAGATCTTTTGATGACTTATACTGACATATATCTTTAATGATTTTAAAGTAATCCTGTCCCCAAATTCACTTTTACTTTGCGCAGAACTAACAAACCACATTTTTTCGATTCTCATAAACAGGTGAGAAGCCGAGGTCTTCCTGACGACCACGCTGGGCCCATCAGGATCATTGACATCGAGGGCGTAGATGCCAACATGTGCTGCGGGACTCATGTGTCCAACCTCAGTCACCTTCAGGTCAGTCCTGCTCTCCCTGTCAAGCACATTTTAGGCCAACTTAACTGTGGGCCACAGGTGGAGTGTATTATTCAGAGCTATTCTACTGTTTAATCACTCAGAAAAATGTGCTCCTTAGGTTATAAAGATTTTGGGGACCGAAAAAGGGAAGAAGAATAAAACCAACCTGATTTTCATAGCTGGCAGCAGAGTGCTGAAATATGCTGAAAAGAGTTACGGCATTGAAAAATCACTGACCGGCCTTCTCAAGTGAGTTGGAGTCAAGTGACCTGTCTGCTTTCTTCTTGCATGAGCTTATGTTTGTCGCTGTGGTTTATTAGGACAGGAGCAGATGAGCACGTTGATGCTGTGGACAAGCTACAGAAGACGATCAAACGTCTTCAGAAGGTAACCTACTGTGCCAGTAGACAAGGTTTAATCTTGGACTTTTGCAATTATTAATCATTACCCTTTATGTTCCTCTGACAGAGTAATCTAATTATCCTGAGGGAAATGGCTGTTCTGATAGCGCTGAACTTCAAAAACAAAGCGGACAGAGGAAACTTCTTCAGCTTGCACAAGTGTGTGATTGACTTTTAGCCTTTAGTCAAAGCTGTATGAGTGAATCGAATCGACAAGAAAGGCTGTCAACTTATTCTACTTCCATGTCCTGATGTATTTCTGATTACATTTCCGATATTCAAAAGTTCAATCCAAGCCTTGTTCTTTTCACAGTAAAGACGGTGATAATGAGTTCATGAACATCATCGCCAATGAAATTGGATTTCAGGTGAAGCGCATCTTTTATTCATTGAGGAGCATGTATGTGCATTGCTAGATTGGTGTGTAGTTTATACTCTCATTGTTGTGTTTGTGTAGGACACCGTGATCTTTCTGACCGTGGGTGAGGAGAAGGGTGCAGGACTGTTCCTGCTCGCCGGGCCTGAGAATATTGTCACTGAAGTGGGACCGCGGTAAGACCAATCCTAATTTATTCTCTTTCATTCTGCCCATTTTTAACCCTGTAAAGCCTGACATGTGAAATAATAGTAAGCAAAAGCAAAATTTTCAAAATGGAATAGTATGTCAAACCTTTACCCAACGTCTGGAAAAATCCAATTTTTATGTGTTTTTTTTGTTGAGTATCATTTTTGATGCATCAGGCTTGTATACCTCATAAAGTATGGAGCTCATACTCAAGGAAGAAAACACATCTCGGTTTTATTCAGAAGCTCAAACTGAGCAAAATAGAGATTTACAGTCCAATGCCAAAAAGTAAAATGAAATGGCTTTTAATGTAAATCAATGAGACTGTAAATAAAAATTAAACCGTAAAATAGCAGTTGTCACTCTATCTCTACCAATATATGTCTTATTAAGATGATTTTTCCATGCTTAGTTTTATGATCAACTCATGTTGTGGGGTCAAAATATATAATGTAATGTGATATAATGATAACTGAGAGATGAACAAATAAGCACGCCTCAAAAGCCTGATGTATCTTTCGGTAAGACCAATCCTAATTTATTCTCTTTCATTCTGCCCATTTTTAACCCTGTAAAGCCTGACATGTGAAATAATAGTAAGCAAAAGCAAAATTTTCGAAATGGAATAGTATGTCAAACCTTTACCCAACGTCTGGAAAAATCAAATTTTTATGTGTTTTTTGTTGAGTATCGTTTTTGATGCATCAGGCTTGTATACCTCATAAAGTATGGAGCTCATACTCAAGGAAGAAAAAACATCTCGGTTTTATTCAGAAGCTCAAACTGAGCAAAATAGAGATTTACAGTCCAATGCCAAAAGGTCAAATGAAATAGCTTTTAATGTAAATCAATGAGACTGTAAATAAAAATTAAACCGTAAAATAGCAGTTGTCCCACTGGACTGGTTCATAATAATAGCCAAAAAATACCAAATTAAGTGTATAAGAATAAAAAACCGAGACAGCAGCTCTATCAGACAGACATCTAATAATCTTACTCAACCTCATGTCATTCCAAATCCATATGATTTACAGTTTTTCTCAATCGATTTGACACTTTTTCCCAATACAATGTACTTGTTCTCAAAACAATTAGCACAGGCATCCAAACACAAAATTATCTTAACCAAACAGTTCAACTTTACTGCAAAATGAAGCACTGTAATTTTTTCTAGTAATGCATTTATTAAAAGTAAAAATCTATAGGTGTGTTCTCTATTGATTATAAAACGCATTCAGCTGTAGATGCACAACTATGCTAATGAAAACACACGTTTATTGTAATTCTTCAACAGGGTGTATTGTTTCACATATATTGTGTATATCTAAACGAAATAAAAATTGTTCCAACACCTGCTGTCACCCATGAGAAAAAAAACTAATTGCCCCTTTAAACTTAAAATCTGTTAATATGACTTTTTTTAGCTCGTGAAAATACTAGTGTACTAACAATTTTGGCCACCACTGTATATACACACGTGTGTGATTTGCTGTATACATGAATTATCCTAAATTACTGATCTTTCCTTTCATTTACATCTGGAAGAGAATTTCATTGCATTTGATCTAGACTAAGTATTTGCTGCGCTTGCATCATAGGAGAAAAAAATTTAATAAGTTTGATTCCATGCTTGAAAAGCTCCTGCTTCTTCCTTTGAGGCTGGTGATGTTGTTCTGGACCACTATGTCAACAATGCTGCTATTCCATTTAAAATAATCTTGATTGTCCACCTGAATGAACACAAACTTAAATTCTGAAAAATGTTTGGACCTATACAGTAATTAACAGAAGTTGTCAGAGGAGGACTAAAAATCTGTACTATCAACAATTACAGTTAACCCCCAAGAAAAACAAACTAAAAAATTAGCTTTTTAGCAACAAACACTCAAGATGGGTTTGGTGCACACAGGGATAAAAAGTACCCCATGAGTACAATGAAATATACTGCTGTATTTTTAATGTTGTGGGCCTATATTTCTGCTGGAGGTCCTGGACATCTTGTTTAGATGCATGGCATCTTTGGTTCTATCAAATACCAACAGATAAAAAATCAAAAAGTGACTGACTCTGTTAGAAATCTTATAATGGGCCATGTTTGGATCTTCCAACCGGACAATAATCCAAAAACAACACAAAAATGGGTCACTGGGCATCACGCTTCTGCTATGGCCATTCCAGTTCCCTGACCTGAACCCTATAGAAAATGAGTGTGATGAACTGAAGAGGAGAAGCACCAACATGGAGCTGGGAATCTGAAGGGTCTGAGAGATTCTGGATGAAGGAATTGTCTCTGATCTCTTGTCAGGTGCTCTCTAACCTCATCGGGCATTATAGGAGAAAACTCAGTGCTGTTATTATGCCGAATGGAGGTTTCAAAAAGCATTTAATAAAAGGGTGACATTTATTGTGTCCAATGTGTATTAGAGAAAAACATTTATGTCATAATGATATTTCCCCCAATTTTAAATTCTTATTCTCCAATGAAAGGTTAGATTTATGTGAATTATTTTAATAAAAGATCAAAATGATTAACAATGCAGATTTATTTTCACAGCCTTCTTTGATCATATTTACCAAAGGTGCCAATAATTCTGACCACCACTGTACAAGTGAACTTATTCTTCCCCTAACCAGTCAACTAAAACTCTACTAACACTCTAATGAGAGTTAGTAGACATGTAGGTGCAACATTACTTCTAGTCGACAGAATGTGTTAAAGGGACCATTAAAAATGCAAATAAAAACAACAATACTAGACAAGATATATTTTCAGTGTTTTATTAAAAAATGACCTAAATAATTTCCAAAAATAAAATATTACAGAAAATCCATCAAAAGAAGTACACCTCTTAGGGAGGACAAACATTGTCCTCCTATATACATATACTTATCATTTCAGTTCTCAAAAAAGAACTTAACACTTATTTTGTCAGATGCCAGACCTTTTCATGTAGATGCAAAGGCACAACGCACCATTGTAATGTGTAATATAACAGTGCTTAATTTAAACTCTTAAGTGTCTGCATCCCTTAGTTAGAAAACACATTTAAACAGGCAAGTTGTTCATTGGCAGTGTTCCTTCGACTGATGGGATGAACATGCTAGTTTGAAACACTAAGTAATTGTGTAGTTGCACACAGTCTTTTGCAGTTCTTTCTCAGCTCAAAGCTGTTTTTTGCTTTGTAAACCGAGGGCTCCGGACACGCAGTACGGGATGATACTGACCGTGATGAGAGGAACGGTGGCACTCTTGCAGAAAGACAGCAGGTAGTAGAGGGCAGCCGTGTGTGTGGGAGGCTTGATGGAATCGAAGAGATGCAGTAGAGACAGAGAGGCGACGATACAGGCCATTCTGACTCTAGCACTGCTGCTCTTCTTGCTTTCAGTGTACAGCGGGGAGTGAAGACCAAGTCCCAGACCAAACAGGGTGCCCATGTTCCTCAACAGGCTGGCGAACGGCGTGGTGTCCAAGTGGACCCAGGCTGGATTGACGCACCACCGCTGGGCTTTCTCAAGCGTCCACAGCAGATCCACACCCAGAGCTTTGAGGACCAGGTACAAGCCCACCGCAAAAGAAAGCAGGATCAGCGTGATGTTGAAGTAATTCTTTAGACTGGCACTGTAGATCCATTTCTGTCTGTTGAAGGCCTCGGCAACAATCATGCCTGTGAAAAACAAGAATAAATATATATTTTAGTCATGAAACTCTAGATGGCACAGGCTGATGGGTTGTTAACGTAACTGATGATATTCAGAGAGTTAAACAACTTGGCACAAGCTGATTGGTTCATGCTGCATATGTAGCCAATGAGCTTACTGCCTTGCATTTATATGGCTGGCTAGCATTCACTTGAGCTTCCTGCAGAGCGCTTTCTCAAAGAGTTCTTTCAGAGAGTTCTCTGAAACCCTCCACCTTCCCCAGCTCCACCTGTATAGATCTGCTACGGGGTTATTTTATATGCTATTTGTGCAGCAGCAGTATGTCTTAAATACTCACGGCACCGTATTGCCGTATGCAATGGCAGTAGCAAGTTCCTGTACTTGCTTGCAGCAGCAGCAATAATCTACAAATACAGAAATAACCAACAGCAGCAGCAATTCAGCAGCGTAGCAGATCTATTCCGCCAAGACCAAATACATTAACATTGTCATATCCATCACCATGCTAAAATCTTCTGAGAGTTGTCATGATTAAATTGTATTAATTTTCAAGAAGACATTTACACATTTTTTGTGTAAATGATTTTTTAGACATTTAGAATAATTTAAATTTTTAGTATTTTTGAAAAAAAAAGCCTCTTATTCTCATCAAGGCTGCATTTGTTTGATCAAAAATATAGATTTTAATATTGTGATATAAGTGTTTACTATTTTAAAACATTTTAAAATGATTTATTTCTCTGATGTTAAAGCTGAATTTTCAGCATCATTACTCCATTCTTCAGTGTCACGTGATCCTTCAGAAATCCTTCTAATATGCTGATTTGCTGTTCAGTTATTATCAGTTATTGCTGGTGCTCAATTAATGAAATTTAATGAATTTATATTGTAATGGTTCTTATTATCTGTTGAAAAAATGTTTTTGCTACTTGATATTTTTGTGGAAACCATGATACGTATATTTTTAGGATTCTTTGATTAATGTAAGAGTCAATGAACAGCAATTTTGCTTAAATAGAAATATTTTGTAATATTTTGCTGAATAAAATATATATTTTTTAATCTTATTTACCCCTAACCCTTGATTATATTAAATATGAAGTAGCAAATCAGCATATTAGAGTGATCTCTGACAGATCATATGACACTGAAGACTGGCGTAATGATGCTGAAAATTCAGCTTTGCACCACAGGAATAAATCACATTTAAAAATATGTCCAAAGAGAAAACAGTTATTTTAAATTGCAATAAAAAAAATCGGCATAAAAACAGTATTACAAGTTTAAATGCTTTTCGATTTAATTCATGTTCCATTGGAAAACAAGCTGTTTATTAACTTATGTATTTTGTTTATTTGTTTGTTTGTTTATTGATTTTTTTTTTTTTTAGGGTATATGGGTCTCTCTTTTTTTTGCCAAAACAAACACGTGTTGTAATTAATCTATAGGGCAATAATTGACCAAAACAATTCAGAAGATAATATTAGCAATATGGGAACCTGTTGCTCTCAGACAGGCATTCTTTGACTGCTTACATAGGCACTTGCTGAATAATATTGAATTGGTTTGTTTACATGCGTGTTACATAAGTGAATTAATCATTACATTGATCAGTGATGCTTAAATGACAAGTTAAACTGTAATCAATGCAAGGCTTTTTGTTAGTCAGTTCTAGCTGATACTTGTAGTGTTTGTTTATCCGTCCAATTGCTTAACCTTCCAATTGCATCTTTGCATATAACAGAATAGAAGAAAATGATAGTGGTGTTTGTTGGTACAAAACTCTGCAAGGGTGTTGAATCGGTCTCTTTTCAATTTGCTAAGTCAAAAGAGCCCACTCCCATGTTTCTATGATGTTTTGGCATTGAATGGAGAGTGGGGCCCTCAAGGGCTTGTGGGGCCCCAGGACCTCAGTACATTTCTCCAAATCCAAACCTCAAGAAGTGTGCTTGATTTGCATTTAATGTGCATTTATAGTGTACCTAAAGTATTAAAAGCACATTTTAAAAAATATGTTACACTTTATTTTAAGGTGTCCTTGTTACAGTGTAATTATACATTTAAGTACTGAGTAATATTAATTAACTACATGTACTTACTATATGGTTAGGTTTTGGCTTGCATGTAATTATGAATAATGTATTGTTATTATAATAGTAAGTTCATGTAACGTGTAACAAGGACACCTTAAATTAAAGTGTTACCAAAAAATGTACCTGCAGATAATATATTATTAATGAGATATAAAATTAACGGCCACTTAATTGTACTTAAAGAAAGAATATTTCTTAACAAACTTAAGTTCACTTAAAAAGTGCACTTTTTAATGATGTCAAATTAAAAGTTTTACTGTAAAATGTTTTGTGGTGCTTACTATAAAGTTACTTACATTTGATGTGCTGTCTAACATACTAAAGCACATGTAAAGTAGTTGATTTTATTTTTAACCGTAGTGTGTTATTTGAGATTGCATTTAAAGGTAGTATTTTTACGGTAACACTTTACAATAAGGTTCATTAGTCAACTAACGTGAACTAACCATGAGCAATACATTTGTTACTGTATTTACTAATCTTCACTAACGTTAGTTAATAAAAATACAGATGTTGGTTCATTATTTTTCCCATGATCACAAGCCAGACAGAACCATTAAAACTAGATCAGATCAAAATTTGATCGCAGTGACATCACACTCCATGAAACCAAAGACAAAACTAATCAGTGTGTCCACTCAGCATTTTATCAGTATGTGTCCCATCAGCGTCATCACGGGTGAAAGGTCCTCAAATCGAGGGCCTCTGAGTTCTCCAGTCAACATGCAAACAGAACCAATCCATCTAGCCTTGAATAAAGTCCAACTAGAACAGAAAGCCAGGGTGCGACGGCTGGACGAAGCCTGGCAGGCTGCCTGCGTATATGCAGTTTGATCCCCATCCCTGTGCCTTGTGTCTGTCCTCCGCTTTTCCAGGGTGACTGTGCCGATCTTAGACTGCAGAGATGGACCTGCTCCACAGCTGGGGGGTGAACCTAGCCGTCTATTTGCAGACGGAGTACCGGGACTCTGAGAATCTGTTTCAGTGGGTCTCCTCTGTGGCGGATCTCCACGCCACTTTCTTTGTGTTTTTCCCCATTTGGTTTCATCTGCACAGAGACGTGGGCGTCAAACTCATCTGGGTGGCTGTGGTTGGAGACTGGCTAAATCTCGTGCTGAAGTGGTGAGATGCTCGTTGGTTTGAAACAAACTGAAATGACTCAGAAATGGCTAAGTAATGCCAAGTAACGCATAGAATGAAACATGAAATTTTGAAGTAGAAAGACTGAAATAGTATTTGCTTGTTTGTTTCATTTACAACTTTCGGGAAAAAATTACAGTGTAATAAATTGGTGCATTATCAGAATGTTATAAATTAAATATTGCAGCACAAAGAAAACAGAACACAATTTAAAATTGTATTTAATAAATGACTTAAATATTCATATGTTTAATATTAATAGAAATAACTCATTCTTAATTGGTCATTTAATTAATATTTTCAATAGTGCACCAATTTATTACATTGTAAAAATAATGTTTTAGGTCAAGTAAACATTTAGAAAATACTCTTTCTGTGTTTCTACTTAAAGAAAATCAATCTTTAAAAAAAAAAATTTCACAGTGTAATAAATTGGTGAGTTTTCAGTTAAATATTGCACAAGGAAAACATAAAACACAATTTAATGATTTATAATGAATTAAATCATATAATAATTTAAATATGAATGTTTAAAATTAATAGAAATGTCTTGATAATTTAATTTGTAATATTTCTGATAACGCACCGATTTATTACACTGTACAATAGATTTTTCAAGGTTAAGAAAATAATATTTCTCTAAAAACATAAGTGCATTTGACAATATAATAAACATGCATTATTAAAATTATTATTATCAAAGAAAAATGATTTAAAGGCACAATATGTAAGATTTTTTTATTAAAATATCCAAAAACTACTAGAACAGTGTTATATATTTTGCTGACTTGTGTACTTACATTATCCCAAATGTTTCGAAGAATGTTTAAATCCAGAGAAATAAGCAATTTTAACTAGTGACACGGACCGTGTCTATAGTGTCATTGTGTCGTCTGCCAATGACGTCATAACCCCTCGATTTCCGGTTTTATTTTGTAGAAAACATGGAAACACCAAAGACGCTTTAATATGTTGTGCGTTTTATTAGACCGGTGACGACCGCACAGAGTAGCATTATAACAGAACGTTCAAATGTATCTAGTATGATAAAACAGCGCTGCTTTACCCCACATACACACGACCAGAAGGAGTGGAAGCGCTCGACTGTGGCATAATAAAAGCTCCGCTGCTTTCGAACCGTGTGTCGCGCTCGTTTCGCTTCGACGGCGTTCAGTCTCACCCTGCTTCATACTATGACATTAATGAATCATTAGCTCATCCATGAACATGATTTCTGCCCGAGTCCCGTCGGATTGCATCGGCTGTGGGGATGAAGACCACAACTCCCATGATTCCACACTCAGTCGGCATCATCAAACTACGCCTTTGTTTCTTTGTTTGTTTTAAATACACGCCCTCTAGCGGCGAAAATCACATATTGTGCCTTTAATTAAAATGAATTATTAAATCATGCTGTATTTTTTTCTTTGTGCTGCTGTTCTCCCTCTGCAATTAAATGAATAATTGAAATGATTTTTAATGATGCATTTCCATATTATTTTGTGACATATTCATAGGGTGCTCTTCGGTGAGAGGCCGTACTGGTGGGTGCATGAGACGAAGTTTTATGGCCCTTTAAAACGTCCTGAACTGCAGCAGTTCTCCATCACATGTGAAACTGGACCAGGTATATTACAGTATTTATTGCAAGGCTGAAATACTTGGATTATGATTGGTCGATCTCACGTCATAAAATCATTTCTACTTAAATCTTTATTTCAAGCTTATTTGTTTGTTTATTTTGGTAAGTAGTCATCAGAATAATATACACTGAACTGCTCATTATCGCTCAAGAAAATAAAAACCAACTAAATGTACATGACATCCTCTTCTAACGACTTTGACTATATGCTGTGTATGAATTACAGCTCTATCTCCAAATAAAATCTGCTACTCTGTAAACCGGTGGTTATGCAATCTAAGCAAGGTTGCTGTTCTAATCTTTCATGTGGAAACGGATCTGCCTCTGGTTATCGTAGCGTGTCGGTTCAAGGGCTGCGTTTTAATTAAGTCATGCATATTACTACTAATATTACACACGCTGGCGAGGATCCATTCGTTCTTGACCTGAATTAGTACCCTGGATCAATTAAAAAGGCTCATAAATTTCCTGTCCTGAACTGATATTTTATCTAAATGGCTGCTGGTATTTTGCCTAAGCTGGATTGTTGGTCTTATCTTGTTTAAGCTGGATTTAGCTGGTGTCCTAAACTCGCCTGAGAAACCAGCAGACAAGTTTAGGCCCCTGAACAGATGCATCTCTAATCAAACAGCATTTGCTTTCCCACGCAATTAATGATTTGATATATATTTTTTCATTGCCCTGTTTTCACCACACTGCTTGTTTGGTTTCCGTCTGTCAGGAAGCCCGTCGGGTCACGCCATGGGTTCTGCGGGTGTTGGGTATGTGATGGTTACAGCAGTGCTTTCCATTCTCGCTGAAAGAAAACTACCTCCTTTACGTTATAGGTCAGTCTGAGACATCTGTGCCTGATCATCTAGGTGTAATGCTTTAATATCACACACCTGACAGTCATTCCTGCTTTCAGAGTTTTGCAGCTAATGCTCTGGATGCTTCTGGGTTTGGTGGAGTTACTGGTGTGCATGTCTAGAGTCTATCTCTCAGCCCATTTCCCACACCAGGTCATCAGTGGAGTTATTTCAGGTGGGTCTCTACTCATTTTGTATGTGGGTCAGTGACATATGAGAGCGTTCACCATGCAGAAAAGGGAAAAATCGATCGAAAATCGAATTCTTAGAAATGCACCCATTGTATTTAAGTTGGTTTAGAAAAACGTAATGCTTTAATATCACACACCTGACAGTCATTCCTGCTTTCAGAGTTTTGCAGCTAATGCTCTGGATGCTTCTGGGTTTGGTGGAGTTACTGGTGTGCATGTCTAGAGTCTATCTCTCAGCCCATTTCCCACACCAGGTCATCAGTGGAGTTATTTCAGGTGGGTCTCTACTCTTTTTTTTATGTGGGTCAGTGACATATGAGAGCGTTCACCATGCAGAAAAGGGAAAAATCGATCGAAAATCGAATTCTTAGAAATGCACCCATTGTATTTAAGTTGGTTTAGAAAAACGTATATATATACCATTTTCAAGAAAAGTTTCATTAAACTTTCTTATGTAAAAAGTAAAAAAATTAAATTGAGGACATGCGAATGTACACATCTCATTATTTTCAAAAACTGTTATAATACATTTTTAACGTAGAGCAAATAAATAGATATGTATTTTCTTTATACAAATGTATATATAGTTTACAAGTTTATATAGATAGATAGATAGATTTTTTTTTAAATAACTTTCTTTATTCTGTTTTTCACTTTGTTTTTGAATGTCCATATAGTTTTTATTAATTTCTGTTTTTCATTTGTAGTTATTTCAGTACATCAAGTTAAACTAAATTGAAATGAGAAATAAGTTTGTAATGTTTTATTTTTAGTTAATGTTCATTAACTAAAATTGAATAATTAGTTACTACCTGTTTATTAATGTTTATTTAACTTCTGTAACAAAATGTTTTTTTTAATGGATTTAGTTTGTAAACTATAACTCTCACCTGAACTTTTCTTAAATGTTATTTTCTTAAATATTATGGAGCTTTTTATTCAAATATTTTTCTTAGAAATAATAATACAATATTTTGCCCTTTTTTTAGCCCCCAGAATATCAAAAATACTTTTAATTCAGAAATTAAAAACATGCTCATCTGAAAAAGATTTGGTCTATGATTTACTTTCAATATTTTTACCCAGAAATTGCTTGAAAATTTCACAAATAACTACAAAAACAGCACGTAACACTGAACATGTAAAAAAAATGTACTAATTGTTTTCATGTCTCAACAGTACAATAATCTTTATTTACAATTTAAAACTTTTTTTTTTTTTTTTTTACAGTGGATAAGAGGTGTATTCAAACCATGTTATGTTTGAATTGCATTTTTATGTATTTCTGAATTAATAGATCCTGGAAAAAATAAGCATCGCTATATTCACTTAATAGTGCATCAGTGCTTCATGCTGGATCCAGGCGCTCTCATAGCTGTTGGTCTTTTATTCCCAGGTATAATTGTAGCAGAGATATTCTCCAGAGTGCAGTGGATCTACAGCGCCGGTCTGAGGAAGTACATCAGCGTGACTGTGTTCCTGCTCTTCTTCGCCGTGGGTTTCTATGTGCTTCTGAAAGCCGTGGGTGTGGATCTGCTGTGGACATTGGCAAAGGCCCAGAAATGGTGCGTCAATCCAGACTGGGTCCTTTTGGACACCACCCCCTTCGCCAGCCTGCTGAGGAACATGGGCACTCTTTTAGGTCTGGGGCTTGGCCTTCACTTGTCAGGCTACAGTGAAACAGCAGGCAGAGAACACAGCAGCGTCTCTTCCAGGACAGGATGTATTGGTGTGTCGCTGGTGTTGCTGCAGCTTCTGGACAAGATGACGTTTTCCTCAAGTAACCAGTTACTTTTCTACTCTCTGTCATTCTGCAAGAGCGCTGTGGCTTTGGTGCTTCCCACTGCACTCGTTCCTGGAGTCATATGTTGGATTTCATCAAAAAGCAAGCATGAAAAGGGCATGTAGTGCAACATTTGTACAAAACTGAAACATGCAGCTTTGTGATTTACCTGCTAATGCAGTGGTTCAGCAAATATTTTTGCAGTGCACTCTTTATAAAATACCTCTCAGATGGCATGAACACGATGGGTGGCTACAAAACTCAAATCATTTAAACAGTTTTGAACTTTTAGTTTGTTGTATGCATTTGTTTTTTAATTCTCTGCATTATGAAAACCATATGTCCATTTAAAAGAGAGATGGAGAGAGAGAAAGAAAATTTAGTTCTTCGAAATGTACTTTGTATTCATGTTGGTTTAGAAAAACTTATTTTTATAACATTTCCAAGAAAATGGTATCTTTAAAGTTAAGCAGTTTTGTTCAAATAATTGTAAAATAATGATTCATATAAAATAATAATAAATTAAATAATGATAAAAGATTTTGAGTTTTTCTTCTTCTCCTACAGTGTGTCTTTTAGATACAATATTGAATATGAAAAGTTGATCTGCATTATGAAAGACAAATGTCCATGTTGGGGAAAATAAAATAATAATTAAAAAAAAAAAGTTTCTAATGACTGTATATATATGGCATGTGGTATATCAAATAAAAAAGTAACATTTTATATCTTGAATACATGATGTGAATATACACATCTAAATATTTTCAAAAATGTTTTGTAATACGTTTCATAAAGCAAGAAAAAATTAATTTTGTTCATTAATATTTTCATGAAAAAAAAATTATCTTTAGTTTTTTTTTTTGTATTAATTCATATATTCATAAATAATAATAATGATCATTTATACATTCTGAGGAGTTGCACCACATGACATTTCATAGCCTGAACTAACCTTGCCTTTTCATAAATGGTATTTTTCTGGTAATATTTGCGGAGGTTTATTGACCTTGACACACAGACATTTGGCAGACAATCAGTTCTTCAAATATTAATAAGCCATGAAGCAATTTAGTTCAAATAACTTTGACTTGTGTCCTTTTAATGAGACGTTTCCCCCATACAGTACGTCTTTTAGAAACATTTGAACATTGGTCTACACATTATGAGACACATATCAATTGTGAAAGTTTCAAGATGTTCGTCCTCACGAATATAACCTGACTATGATGAATTTCTGTGGCTGTAATCATCTCTTTAAGAGATCTCTCCAAGATTAGTTGAGCTTGCTGTAGGCAAGTCTTCAGCATATCTTGTTATCTGTGAATGGTTTTAAAGGCAGCTGGTCCATTCACTAACTAACTTTCATTCACATCTTCTGTTCAAAGGTCCCTCAGTCATGCTCTGTACATGGGGATTATATTATAGGGATCATTCAGCTCAAAACGTATAGCTTATGTAAAACTTCTAGCACCATTCATCTGTTCGGAGCGATATACCAAAAATTTCCAAAAACACATTTTTCACATTAGATTAGATCTATTTCTTACAAATGGATATTTTAAAATCAGAAACACAAACAATTTGTCAAAACTACCCATAAAAATGATATCCAGGCCATTTTTGATTCATTATTGCAACATTCAGTTTTTCTTAAAAAATGTATTTGCATTTGTTGGATTGAATATACGTATATCCAATAAGTTTCAATTGTATTACTTTATATATTTAGATTATAAGTGCTTACATGCATTAATAAAGATAGGATATCTCTTAGCATCTTTTTATGACTTTAATTATGGAATATTGTCTCTAGGGGTAGACTTATAATTTAGCTGTTATCTGTTACCAATCTGAATGAATGCATGCATATCTTTCAGATTCACTTACTGACTACTTTAACTGCACATGATGTTGCATAATGAAATAATAAATGTTTACAGTGTGGAGACAGTGTTTGTTTCTGGTTCAAAACCTCTGTTAATTTTTTTCCCAGTTCCAGTGAGTCCAGGTGCAGTGGCTTCCTACATTAGTGCGCTGTAAAATTTTTTTTTTTAAATGTAATTATTTGTGCAATGTAATGGTACTTTTTGAATGAAAGTGTTTCAAAGTAAATCCTACACTATTTTTTTTGTATTAAAAAGTGGGTTTTAGAAAATTATCACATTTATTTAGAACACAAAAGTTTTTCTTTGCATTGTTTAAAATGTTTACGTTCATAAAAAAATGATCATGAACAGACTTTTTTTTTCTGAAAAACATCCATATTGATTAATTCTCTCTTCTGAGGACTGCTTTTAAATATTAACTTGCATTGCCTACTTTCCTCTAACCTCTTTTATACATGTTTACATTTTGTTCTTCTGTAAGGGTTTGTGAGGGGCGTAGTAGGCCAAAGTTCAGAACATTTTGTTTATGTGGTCTGTGGCCTGGAGAAAACATCACAGACTGCACAAACATCCTTATCAATGTTTTTCACTCCTTACTGAAGGTTACAGGTTGGACGTGTGCCACACAGCACTGTTCTGTCCCAAACAATGCACCGGTTGCTTTTCCGTTGGCCATTGGCTGGGGGATCGGCAAAGCAGCGATGTAGGATGATTTAGTAGGATGAAAATGAGATGGGAGTTTTTCGACATACCCTACTGTCATGAACCGGGGGGAAAACAGAGTTCACGCAGAGCTAGACAAGACTAGCTTTTGAGGTTAAAAAGTATATACAGTGGGGCAAAAAAGTATTTAGTCAGCCACCAATTGTGCAAGTTCTCCCACTTAAAAAGATGAGAGAGGCCTGTAATTTTCATCATAGGTATACCTCAACTATGAGAGACAAAATGAGAAAAAAAAATCCAGAAAATCACATTGTAGGATTTTTAAAGAATTTATTTGCAAATTATGGTGGAAAATAAGTATTTGGTCAATAACAAAATTTCATCTCAATACTTTGTTATATACACTTTGTTGGCAATGACAGAGGTCAAACATTTTCTGTAAGTCTTCACAAGGTTTTCACACACAGTTGTTGGCTGGGGAAAAAAAAAAGAGTTCAAGTTTAAGTTAATTTTTATTTCTAAAGCACGTTTAAGCACGGAACAGCCATACAAGACAATACAGGAGCCACATATTAAAAGCCAAAGAGAAGAGATGGGTTTTATAAGAGTAGTTCACTTCCAGAACAAACATTTACAGATAATGTAACCTACTCACCCTCTTTTTTCATCCAAGATGTTCATGTCTTTCTTTCTTCAGTCGTAAAGAAATTATGTTTTTTGAGGAAAACATTTCAGGATTTCTCTCCATATAATGGACTTCTATGGTGCCCCTGAGTTTGAACTTCCAAAATGCAGTTTAAATGCAGCTTCAAAGGGCTCTAAACGATCCCAGCCGAGGAAAAACGGTCTTATCTAGCGAAACGATCGGTTATTTAAAAAAAAAAAAAAATTACAATTTAGATTATTTTTAACCTCAAGTGCTCGTCTCGTCTAGCTCTGCTGAACTCATTTTTTTTTCCGGTCCAAGACAGTTAGGGTAGGTCTAAAAACTCCCATCTCATTTTCTCCTCCAACTTCAAAATCATCCTACATCGCATGTTTCGCTAGATGAGACCCTTCTTCCTCGGCTGGGATCATTTAGAGCCCTTTGAAGCTGCATTTAAACTGCATTTTGGAAGTTCAAACTCAGGGGCACCATAGAAGTCCATTAAATGGAGAGGAATCCTGAAATGTTTTGCTCAAAAAACACAATTTCTTTACGACTGAAGAAGGAAAGACATGAACATCTTGGATGACAACGGGGTGAATACATTATTTGTAAATTTTTGTTCTGGAAGTGAACTACTCCTTTAAGATATGACTTGAACTCAGATAAAGTGGAAGCCGTTCTTATGTGAACTGGAAATTTGTTCCAGAGGGTGGGACCAGCCACTTCAAAAGCTCTGGATCCCCTGGTCTTTAAGTGAGTTCTAGGTATCTGGAGGAGAAATTTGACCTCCGATCTTAGTCCCCTCGCCAGAGTGAAGGGGTGGAGTAAATCAGACAAATGTGACCATCTCTGTGAAATCCGCGCTAAAGTCTCAAAATCTAATTATGAGATAACAAGCATCAAAGTTTGATTTTTAATCATTAATTTCACTATGATTTCAGTCTTTGACATGGTCTTACTCAGTCAGTAATAAAGATATCAATGTTACATTTTCACAGAATTTTCTTTACCTTATGAAGGATGATTTTGTATAGACAACAGTAAATCACCCAAAAATGACTTTAGCTGGGTTTTCACAAACAGAGTAACAAATAGGGAGGAGCTTGATTGTTGACAAGTAACAAGATTTTAAAGGGGTCGTATGATGTTGCTAAAAAGAACATTATTTTGTGAGTTTGGTGTAATGAACTGTGTTTATGCGGTTTAAGGTAAAAAAAAAAAAACACATTATTTTCCACATATTGTACATTATTGTTTCTCCTCTATGTCCCACCTTTCTGAAACGTGACGATTTTTACAAAGCTCATCGTTCTGAAAAAGCGAGGTATGCTCTGATTGGCCAGCTATCCAGTGCGTTGTGATTTGCCGAATACCTCAAGCGTGTGACGGAAATGTTACGCCCCTTACCATACTGTGATGCCCTGTCCGGCCGGAGCGATGAGACAAAAACATTAAAACTCATTATAAACGAGGCATTTGTTGCATCCAGTGGGGACATAATTACTGATTATAATGACTTATACTGTCTTTTTACGCATTGCATTGCGCCGCGTAAACATAAAACCATGTCTGCATTTGTGATCAGAGAAACGACAAACAACTAGCCCTACTCTACACTGCTGAGCGGCGGCCGTCCGGCTAGAGTGAGGAATGGCCGGCAGGCTTGAGAACGGAGCGGCCGGCGGGTTCGACGAAGGAGCGGGCGGGGGGGTTGTGGCAACCCCAAGT